CTGTCACATAATCATTTAATCAGATAATCACATATTATTTACCTTGGGTGATAATCAGAATCCAGTTATCACATTATCCACCCCTCAAAAGAATTTCGTCCCGGAATTCCTTTAATAAAAAAGCCATGGGTATTTTGATCTCATCTTTGATTCCAACTCCCATGTTGCTTCCGGTCATTTGTGAAACTTCCACTGAATTTTCACCAGACTTATTTCTTTGTTTCTCAACACCCTGATCTTTCTGTCGATTACAGTTTCCGGTGTTTCTACAAAATTCAGCTTACTGTCTAATTAGATTTCTGCAATTTGACACATAAAAAGTGTTGTCAATTAGACTCAGCTCTTCTGGCAGCTCTAACTGATATGTTACTGGCCCAATTCGTTTACATATTCTGAACGGCCCAACATACCTTGGACTGAGCTTTCCTTTCTTCCCAAATCTGATAACACCCTTCCACGGCGAAACTTTTAACATTACAAAATCACCTATATCAAATTCAATTGACTTTCGACGATTATTTGCATAACTTTTCTGCCGATCTTGTGCTGTTTTGATTCTTTCGCGGATTTGTTCAATCTCTTCAGAAGTTTCTTGGACAATTTCAGGACCCGTTAGCTGTTTTTCACCCACTTCATTCCAACACAACGGCGTTCGACATTTACGTCCATACAACACTTCATATGGTGCCGCTTGGATACTGGAATGGTAACTATTGTTATATGCAAACTCTATCAATGACAAGTGATCTTCCCATGATCCCCTGAAATCAATAATACAACTTCTCAACATATCTTCGAGAGTCTGAATAGTTCTTTCACTCTGCCCATCAATCTGCAGATAATAAGCTGTACTTAATCGGATTTCAGACCCCAAAGCTTTCTGTAATCCTCCCCAGAACTTTGAAGTAAACCGACTGTCTCTATCAGAGATAATAGACAAGGGAACACCGTGTCTGGTAACAATTTCTTTGATGTAAATCTGCGCTAGCTTTTCTAAAGAGTATTTCTCTCTTATCGGTAGAAAATGTGCAGATTTAGATAAACGATCCACAATTACCCAAATCGTGTCATACCCCTTTGGAGTTCGTGGTAATTTCATAACAAAATCCATGGTAATGTGATCCCATTTCCATACAGGTATTTCCAAAGATTGAAGGCTTCCATAAGGTTT